GCTCCTGACTCCTGGCTTCAGATTGGCGCAGCTCTGGCCATTGCTGCCAATTGGGGAGTGAACCAGCAGATGGAAGACCTCTCTCTCTCTCTCTCTCTCTCTCTGCGTCTCCTTCTCTCTCTTCATAACTCTGACTTTCAAATAAATAAATAAATCTTTAGAAAATAAAAAAATAAAAAGAGTCTATGGTAAATGAGAAGCCAGGTCTGGGCCTCAGCGTCCCCACTATAAAACAAGGGGAATCGGGGCTGGTGTTGTAGCGTATCAGCTAAAACTGCCTCCTGCAAAATAAATAATAAATAAATAAATAAAAACCACTAAACTGCTTCCTGAAGCACCAGCATCCCACATGGACGCTGGTTCGAGTCCCAGCTGCTCCATTTCTGCTCCAGCTCCTTGTTAATGCACCTGAGAAAGCAGCAGAAGACAGCCCAAGTGCTTGGGCCCCTACACCCACCTGGGAGACCCGGAAGAATCTCTTCGCTCCTGGCTTTGGCCTGGCCCAGCCAGGGTCATTGCAGCTGTTTGGGGAATGGAGCAGGAGATAGAAGACCTCTCTCTCTCCGTAAACTCTGCCTTTCAAATAAATGAATAAATCTTTAAAAAAAAAAGGGGGGGGGGAGTGGATTGAGTCTTCCATTCATTCATCCACTTGAGAAACCTCGCAGAGGACCAGGTGAAGAATATTGGAGGGAGAGGAAGTAGGCTATGATACACAGAAGAGAAATACTGGCCCCTTCATGGGAGGAATTTGAGATCTAGTGGGAGAAATAGATAGGCAGGGTGTAGACCTGCTAACTGAAAGGCAAGCCAAGTACTGGGGGTGGGGGTACCCCAGAGAAGCAGTTAGCTTCCATTGGGGAGAGGCTGGGGGTCAGGAAAGGCAGCGTGGAAGAACCAACTTAGGTAATGGTTGAGTGAGATTTCAAGAAGCTGGCAAAGTGCAAGTCTCCTCCAAGGCGTGGCAAGAGGGCTGGTGTGGTCCCAACAGAGGAAGGAAAGGAGCATGGGACCAGATCAGGAATGGCAGGGAAAGCTAGGCGAAGAGCATGGCCTTGATTTTGTCAGCAGTGGGCAGCCATGGCAAATCATTTTTCTTAGATTCCCTTCTGCACCCCTTGTTGCTGTTGATTCGTTCTGAGAGGAGGAGCGCGGTGGGGGCAAGAGGCGTGGAGTCACCACACAGACCCCGGGAGTCGGGTGAAAGCGGGCCAGAGGCACCTCTGATACAGGTTGGTTCGATGAAGAACTTAGTTAAAGGCCTAGGAGACTTCCGGGAGAGGGGGAGTGGCCAGGCAGCTGAGGGGCATGACCTGGTGAGGCCTCCAGACTGATTTTAACCCCCTTCCTCGGTTTTCCCCCCTGTGGCTATAAAACCCAGAAAGGTTGTTGATTGTTTACAGAGTTCAGTTTAACCAGACTTGCTGTCTCCCCATCTAGACAACGTGGGGGCTCTAAGAGGGCGAGACTAGGCTGTTCTCAGTGGTGTGTTCTCAGGAAACCAGCACCTCCAGCAGCAACCCTGCTTGCAACAAGCCTGGCTCATAGGAGACTTAGGAATAGCACGTGGGGGCAAGGGTTGCTCCCTCACCCCCAACCTGGCTGTCTGGAACATAAAACGAAACACTAGACTGCACATTTGTAACATGCTTCCCTCTTGGCCTCCAGCTTGCAAGGCTCTGTGTGCATCCCCCCCCCCCTTTTCTGCTGGGTGGATTTAGAATGGCAATCCTGAAAAGCTGAGTTCCAATCCTGACCTCACCTTCAATTGACTGAGGTGAGGGAATGAAGGGACAACCAGTAGCTTCCAATTTGCTTCATTTTGCTAACTCTAAAGATCTAAAGCACTGGAAGTTTTTTTTTTTCTTTTTTTGTCATAGGGTTGGGCTGTTTCACCAGTGAGACAAGGCCTCTGATTGCAGAACAAAGCCGAGAATTAAAGTAATTATCCCGTGGATTTAGTCAGAGGTTGCTTTGGGCACTAAATTACCCTGGGACCCCCCAAATGCCCTGCTTTGTCTGGTTAGCATCAGAAGGGCAGGGCCTAGGCCAGTGTCACCTCAAGGTCTCTGTGCTATACCTAGGGAGGCTGGTGATGCTGCTGACACTGACAATAATAACTCGTGCAAGAGCCAGGTAGTTTATGGTGGACAAAACTCTCTTGCATCCATGCCTCATTTGATGCTCATGAGGTGTCCTTGGGAGGGAAGGAGGGCAGATACATGGATGTCTGTACTAAGGAGGGAGAGAGGGAAGACCCAGATTACAGTATCTGGCATTAAGCTGGTGCTTCTCGGGCAAACGTTAGGGCTTGCTTGCCATCCCACTGGTAGCTGCTGGGAGCCAGCGCTAAGACCTGGCTTGCAGAAGTCCCCTCAAACAATCCTCTTTCCCTTACACCAAGCTGCCCTTCTGGGGGGTCCTGGCTTGGAGCGCTAGATGTTACTGAAGGGAGAAATCATTAAGAGAAACAATAAGCTCGAAAAAGACTATGCTGGTGTGAAATGGAGGTGCCATACTGTATTGAAAACTAGAGTCTAGGGGCCGGTGCTGTGGCATTGAAAGTTAAAGCCTTCACCTGCAGTGCCGGCATCCCATATGGGCGCTGGTTCGCGTCTCAGCTGCTCCTCTTCCTATCCAGCTCCCTGCTATGGCCTGGGAAAGCAGTGGAGGATGGTCCAAGTGTTTGGGCCCCCGCACCCACGTGGGAGACCCGGAAGAAGCTTCGGGCTCCTGTCTTCGGATCAGCCCAGCTCCAGCCTTTGTGGCTATTTGGGGAGTGAACCAGCTGATGAAAGACCTCTTTGTCTCTCCCTCTCTCTGCCTGTAAGTCTCTTTCTCAAATAAATAAAATCTTAAAAAAAAAAAAAAAAGAGTCTGGACTACTTTTTTTCCCAGGTCCTGGGACTCACTTGTCCTGTGGTCTCGAGCAAGCCCTGTGTAGACACTTAGACGGTTTCCTCAGTTACAAAATCAAGAATTGTAGTGAGAAACAAGTGAACTAACGCACGTGGAAGGCTTTTGTAAACACTCCGATGCTGAGTGCTGTAAGGTATTCCTGTGATGATTATGTTGTGTCTCTAGCCTCGAATAAAAGAACCAATAATATCTATATTCTTTCCACGGTTTCCCGCAGCCCTCCTCACCCTGCTCCTCGGTTTCCCATCATCTCCTGTAGGGCAGGAAGCCTGGCCCCCAGCAGGAAAGGGCTCAGAGAAGCTCGGGCTTCAGCCAGGAAATAACCATCTTGCCCCAACCTTCGTTTCGCCAGATAAATGTTGCAGCCAAATGGTGAGATGTGGGCGAACCAAGGTGTCCAAAAAACTACTGCAGCCTCAAGCCAAGGAGCAAAGTAGTTGTAAGGTCCTCAGGGCAAGAGGTGTGTAGATGTAGCGATTAGCACATTAAAACCAGTGGAGAAAGTTAAGTCAAAGCAGAGTTGTTGGGGGCTGCATTATCAGGCCCCATAGAGATTCCCCCCCCCCATTTTAATAATGCATTGTGAGTTCATACGTTGATTAGCAGAAACAAATCCTTTCCAAACCTTCACCAAGCCCTTGGTGCAACTTAGGCCAAACACTTTTTAAAGAGAGAGAGAGAGAGAGAGAGAGAGAGAGTGTGTGTGATGTTTGGGTGTGTGTGGCGGGGGAATGCACAGGACCCGAGGACTGGCCAACTAAAATTGCTATCACAGCGGTTCCCAAAGCAAAAGAAAATGGCCAGTGGGTGCACCGTGCTGGCAATGGTTTTTGAGCTCGGTGAGGAGAAGCAAGAGGGGTTGTAGAACATCAGGCCTCAAAGGCGCTGCAGCCTTAGCTAACTTGCTCCAGTCCTCCTGCGTTGGGCTCAGACCAGGTGAGGGAGACACAGCAGGCAAGTCTCAACTGTCATCTCTCAAGTGCTTCCAGAGGAGAGAAGACACCCCATAGCTTAGAGATGGAGCTTCTGGGCCTAGGAGAAGCCCAGGGGGAGGGGTGGGGAGGAGGAGGAGGAGGAGGAGGAGGAGGAGGAAGACATGAATCCCAAAGAGCTTCCTTCTAGTCTCAATGACTCCCGGCTTCCTTAGTATAAATACATAATAAATAATATCAATATATCTACACATAAAGATTTTTTTTTCAAATTCCTGCGATTCATTTCACATTCCGTTTACAAAGCCCTGAATCCTCCAGAAACCGCCGGGCACCTCCCTTCATACCTTCTAGGCTGAGGCTATGCCTTTGAAGTGCTCCACCAAGGCTCGGGCTCGGGGTCTGAGCCCTAAGACTGAGAGCAAGTCAGCTGGCAGCTTCAGCTCCTGCCCAAGCTGCTCTCCTCGGAGTTAATGTAAAGTCATCAGAGTTACAGCGTGGACCGCAAGCTTCTCAGCCCTTCAGTCCCCGGGATGGCCTGGGATGTAAACACACAGGAGGATTTATTCCTTCGCCCAGGCGGAGAGTCGTTAGAGTAAAGGGTAAGGGTCAAGGGGCTCGGATTGGTGACTGAGGAGCCAGGGAAAAGTGGGCAGAAGCCCAGTGCTCTTCGAGCCGGGTTTTCGGCTCCGAGTCTTGCAGGCTTCCCCCTTTACAGAGCTTTCGTCCGCCCCCCTCCTTCCTCCTCCCTTGGGTCTCTCGCTCCCCCCCAGCTCACTCCCCGCCCCCCCCCCCGCCCCGCAGATGCCTCTCCGCCTATGCGGGGGGCTGCGCACTGCAGGCGGTCCAGGGGGCTTGCAGCCCGGGAGGTTGCCACGAAGGGTGGGCCGCTCCCGAGACGCTAGGAGAGGCGGCGAGCCCCGGCATTTTGCCTTCCCCAGCACCTGTCCCACTTCGGCGCCGGGGCTTGGGCTGGGGCTGCGCCCGCGGGCGGCCTCGGTGCCCGAGCGCCAGAACCACGCACCGAGGTCGCTCAGGGTGGGCAAGTGGGGGGCCGAGGAAGGGGCGGGGCGTCTGGTGGGGGCGTCCCCTCACGCAAGCAAGACCCCCGCTCCCCCCGGCGTACATTGAGGCTACACGGGGGAGAGAGAGTCACACATAAAGCACGAGCGAGCGAAAACGATCGTTCTCCGATCCCGGACCGCGTTGTTCGCTCCCCCCCCACCCCTTCCTGGAGCCCGGGGCTGGCCGGGGGAAGGTGGCTCCGTTCTTCCCCCGAGGCCAGTGCGGGGTCTGCGGCTGCCCGGCGAGGTTCCGGCTTCCCCGGGGCTGGCCGGGGGAGCCCCGAGAACTGCAGGCCCGCCCCCCCTTCCTCCTCCTCCTTCCCCTCCTCCCCCACGTGTCCTCCCGGAGCCCAGCGGCCTGATCCCAGCACCCCCCACCACCTCCCTCCTCCTCCTCCCGCTTCGCCCGTTTCCCCGGTGGCGTGGAGAAGAGCAAAGTTGCGACAGCGGCTGGGGGGGCTCTGCCCAGGTAAAGGGGGCGCCATGAGGGAGGGGGACGGCGTGGCCCTGCAGCGGGGGGCAGGGGGAGGATAAAGAAACTTGCTTTCCGCGGCCCCCACCCCACGCGGGTTCGGGTCTTGCGTGAATCGAGCCCTCGTGGTGAGACGCGGCAACGGCGCCAGGACCGAGGCCGGAGCCCGGACTCGGACCGCGCTCTTGGGCCGGCTCGGCGGGCGCAGGCAGCGGGCCAGGCCGGCACCCAGGCAAGGGCGGGGTAGGTGGCCGTACACCGGACCGAACCAGGGACTCCAGTGGTGTGGGCACGGGCCGAACCCGAATCGGGCCGAGTTGGGTGGCGAAGTAGGACGTGGATTCGGGGGCGGGGCGCGGCGGGAGGGGGAAAGCAGGCCCCGCCGGACTGGCCTGGGCGTGGGGGCGGGGGGCGAGTTCGGGGCACTTGCTGGGCTCTGGACCGAGTGGTAGGGCGGGGCGGCGCTAGGGGCTGGGCCGGACCGGCGGGGGGAGGGTGAGGGGAGGGGGAGCCGGGGGTGGAGTAGGGGCGTGGAGTTGTGAGCGGGGTCTGGCCTCGGCCGGGGGCGAAGGTAGATCGGCGGGGCGGCGAGCGAGCGGAGGGAAGGGAGGCCCGCGGTAAGCGCGGCGGCGGGGAAGGCCAGCTTCCGCGGAGTTTGTGCCTGGGCTTCCCAGGCTCCGGCCGCCTCGCTCGCACAAATGGGGCTAGGGGACTGACTGGTAAGCAACTCTGAGTGTTAGACGGTGTGGGGCTGCAATTCCGGGAAAAGCGAGGAAAGACACCGTCTGCAATTATGCCGCACCCCCCACCCACCTCTTAGCATCTGTATTCTGCTCTCTGGGGGCCGAGGACCCTCCCTACCACAATTCTGTTACTCTCCAGCACTCTCACCACCTCCCCTGCTTCGTCGGCCATCTGACTCTCCTACGGGTTTGCGTTCGGGGGTGAAAGGCGGCGGGGTGGGGGGAGGGATAGACTTTCCTTCCCGTGGCGGCAGCCTAGTTCGTACCTTATTCCTACAAGGTAGCGTCGCTTTGGGTTGCATGAACATTGGGGTCTAGATAATTTATCTGCCTCCCCACTGTGATTTGATGACTTTTAAGGAAAGGGACGAACCCCTGAGTTTTCTATGGCTGGGATGAGGTTTGAGGGTTGGGGTTCTCCCCTAGCTCACTTCCACTACCAACCCCTCTTTGCCATGAGCCACTTCCACGGGGATCCGAACCTGGGTGGAGGGGGACGGGAATATTAATGTGCTTCTCTATCTCTACACAGGATCGGCACGGTGAAGGACTGCTAGTCTCGGATGGAAAGTAGCCACCAGTGCAACTCGGGTCGCCCCCACTATTACTTCGGTGAGGGGGGTAACATTAAGAAGGGGATACTGGTGGGTGGGGGCTCAGTCTCAAGGCGGGGGCTGGGCAGTCTCCCGGAGAGACTCCCATTTCTTGGCGGGGAGGAGAGGCGAGCCCCAGCTTCGAGGGAGGGGTTCCGGGGAGGGATGTGGGGGGGTGGCGACGTCGGGGGGGGCGGGAAGACGGGGGGAGTCACGCTCTGCCTGCAAGGGGAGCCTCCCTCGGGCCCCTGGGAGAAGGGGACTGAATGTTTTGTGCTGCCCGGTAGGGGACATCTGGAGTCTCTGGATTTGCACACTGGATCGGGCACCAGTGGCCTGAGAAAGTCAGGTCGGGGCATAAGGTGGAGAGCATTGGGCGAAGGGGGCAGAGAAACCCCCGGCCGCCGCGCACTGATCTCTCTTCCTCAACCTCCTCCTTCTAGGGGCGTCGAGGTGGGGGGGGGGGCGTGAGGCTCTTGCAGCCCCGCGGATTGAGTGCCTCCGCCTCTCCTGGGAGTCTAGCTTTTTGCCCGGCTTGCTGCAGCCACCGCTGCCTCCCTCTCCGGAATCCGCTCGGTCCTAGCAGCGATCCCCTCCTCCTCCTCTCCCCTCCCAGTGTCACCGGGGCTGCTTGGCTCTGCCCCCTTCGCTGCCGCTTGCTCCCTGCTTTCGTCCCTCCCTCTCTTGCTCGCTCCCTCCCTTCGCCTCCACCTCCCCATTCACCCCACCCGCGTAGGCGGCATTCTGGGAGTTGTAGTCCGCTGGCGCGGGGGCTAGCGCCGCCCGCAGACCCGGCCGGACTCCACTTCCCGTCGAGCCCTGCGACCGGCACCCACTCCACCAGGCTTCGCTCGCACACACAGACACACACACACACCGCTCTCCCCCTCACTCTTTCGCTCGCCGCGGCTGCTGCCAGTGTGTGGCTCTGTCTCTCCTCCGCTTTGCTGAGCCCTCCCTTCTTCCTCTCAGTTCCTAGAGTCCGACCGCCGTCGCCGCCGAGAGAGAGGAGAAGGAGGTCGGTGGCGATGAGGGGCGGAGGGGGGCTTCAGATCGGGGCAGTATCAGGCGGGTGGCGGTTAAGAAGGGGTAAGAGGGAGCCCGGGTGGCGGCCTGAGCCTCCCCGCGGAGCCGACCCGGGAACAGGTGCGTCTTTTTTTCTCTCCCCCGACCCCTCCACCCCTTTTGACTCCCCAGCTTTTTCGTATCCCCCCACCCGCTTCTTTCTGTCTTAAGCCTTTCCTTAGCCCTGTCCCTTCTTCGCCCCGGGGCCGCTCTGCTTGCCCCCCGGGGGCGCCGTCCTCTTCGTGTCCCCGGACGTAGCGCTCCCTGGAGCTCGCTGTGTCCTCGCCCCTCCCTTCGGGACAGCTCCCCTGCACTTCCCACCTTCGTACCCCATCCCTGCTCTGCCCTACCCCCTTCTCGACCCCCTTCTCTCTTAGCCAGGTGAGACTTGTTCGCTACGATCCCAGAGAGTCTTCTTCCCGGCTGGGCGGGGGTCTCCATGGAAACGGGGGTCGGTTGATCCTGGGGGGGGAACCATAGGAATTACCCCACTCCTCAGAAAGGGTGGTAGAGGCTACCGTCTTGATAACTACCTAGCCCCAACCCCTGATCCAAGGATCCGACGATCCGAAGGGAGGTTGGCTAGCAGGGCAGGGCGAGAAAAGGCTTGTGTGTGTTGTCTCTTTAATTTTTGGGGGGGGGGTGTCCGTAATGAAGTCTTGAAGAGACCAGGAGAAAATACCCTCCAACTTCACAGGGAGGTGAGAGATCTGTTCTCTAGGGATGTCTTCTGTGTCACTTCTAAGAGTGAGGAGCACTAGGGAAGGGGGACCCCTTCCGTACCTGCTCCGACTGTGATTCGGAAAGGTAGTGCATCATATGTGCCCAGGTACTTATCTCGAGTTCTCTGGAAAAAGGCTGGGGGA